GCTACTAAAGATATTAACTTAGAATTATTAAATGTTGTAGCTTTTTTGATTTAAATAACTGAACAAGCATCTCTTACTTTTTTTTTTTTTTTTTGAGACAGCATTTGTCTAAGCTGACCAAGTTGTGCTTACATGTTTGATCTTTTGTCTTCAGCCTCCTCAGGAGTTCAGGTTACAAGTGTGTACAACCTTATCTGCTATTAACTATAACTTTAAAAATACTTTTAACAGGGGCTGGGGAGATGGCTCAGTGGAATAAGCGCTTGCCTGGCAAGCACAGGGGCCTCACTTCAATCCCCGGTTCTGCCAAAAAAACCAAAAAACTTTTAACAAAAATGTAACCAAATCAGGGTTATGAAAATTCTAAATTCCACACCTAAGTGACCTGGACAAAAGACTTTACAGTCTACCTGTTTTAAGGAGAAATAAGAGTGTACTTACCTGAAGTTGATGGACAAATCCAGCATTAGGATTAATACAAAATCTTCTTTCTTGCACATATGCAAATGCATCTCTGAAAAGGAAAAGAAAATTAATGGAAAGGCACTGTTTCATGAATGAATCCTATTTTCCAGACTCAATTTCTCTAAGTTTCATTGGTGAAATGGGAGAAAAGCATTAAAACACTTTATGCATGTAGTACATCTGTCATACAATACATTTTCAATATATCACCGCTGGGTAAACAAAACGGTAATACCCTGTGTTGTTGGGAGGCTTAAGCAAGATCAAGCTGACCTAGCAGTCAGCGTTGGGCACAACTTAAAGGAACTTATTTTCACTAGGTTACTGACAAAGATTCCAAATAATACAGGAATATATATAAAAGATAAAGTATACAATGTATAGCTACATTTTTCCATTTAATAAGCAAAGCATTTAAATTAAAATATTTAAGAACTGATACTTTCAAAGCAAACTTTTCCATTTGGGAGTGAAACACAAAGGTATTGATGACAAATTACTAACTTGTACAAGACAAAGAGATAATATTGAACATTGGCTAAGTTTTGCTTTCTTGTGGGTCAAAAAGATCTTTTAAAGAAATCCAAGTACTGTGCTTGGCAAAGAGTGTTTCTTTTTTTTATGTATTTGGTACAGGGTCTCACTACACAGCTCAGACTCCCGGTAATCCTCCTGTTTTCAGCCTCCCCAGCGCTGGAATTACAGGAGTGCAGTTACCATGCCTGGTCTCTGTGGCTGGCTCAGGGTACCCAGGAGTAGGGCCAGCATGGCACGTGGTGCTGGGGATCGAACCCTGGTCACTGTGCTTGCCTAAGCAGGCACTTAATCCCACTAGCACAGATTATTTCTCATAAAAGACTATCCTGAATTTTGAATAGATGCTACTGACAATTCCTAAGTTATTTTTCAATGAACTAATAAAGGAAAAATATAATAGGTTAGCCTTTTAAATAAGGCAAGCACTAAATTCAAACACCCCACCATTTCTACAAAACGTTTTAATGAGAATTTAAACTGGGGTTAGGTTTTAATATATTCACTTACCTGTACTTCATCCCAAATGTTTCCATAATGTATGCAATAACAAAGGCAGCACTAAAGACAAGGGGAAAAGTTTTAGAGAACTCACTAATTAAGTATTAGAGAAAGAAAGATTATCTCTAACTTCATACCTTCTGGAGATCCCTGCATTTCCATGAACAAGAACTTTTCCTGAAAAAATAAAACACGGTTATTACCAGAAAAACACGTAAGTCAGCAGCTGAAATATACTGAGATCACATTTAAACCACAGTTGTCTTTCCTTAATCATTTTATATCACATCTATGCCACTTGGATATCTATTAATGTTCAAGTCTTTAATGTGCAATCTATTATTAATCTCATGCTATGTACTCATCTCAGAAATATTTCTCTAAAATTCAAAACAATACTGAATATACTGAATAAATAAAAAAATTTCAAGTCCTTAACTGTACATAAATTATAACGGACTTTTAAGGAAATAGAAAGCTCACAGAGAATATGAAAATAGTTATATAGAGATTATTTCAAAAATCTAAAAGAATTGGGAAAAATTTGAGAATATTCTATGTAACAACAATTTCCGTATCTTACATTTATTTTTTATTTATTGATTTACTTTTTGCATTTTTAGTACAGGGTCTACAGGGTCTCCCTACACACACTGGACTTGTAGTGATCCTCCTATTTTCAGCCTTCCAAGCACTGGGATTACAGGCACAGTGCCACCTCACTTAGTCTCAGTGGGCTCTCAGCACGCCCCAGGAGTGAGGGCGGGGCCAGCACAGCACCCCAGGCATAGAAGCCAGCCCCTGCCTAAGCAGGTGCTTTGATCCACTGAGCTACCTGACTGGCCTTCATTTCTTACAGTTAGGAAAATTACCAAGTAAAACATTACTATACAAAAAAACCTCCTAAAAGTAAACACTAGTTAATTATAAGAAATATATTTTACCTCCAGTTTGTAAGCTCCCATCAATAAATTCCTTAGTCTAAAGGCAAAAAAAGACAATGTTACAATACGCAGATTAACTTAAGCATAAGATAATGAAATTTCTAAAATGCTACCAACTATTACAAATTTTAAAAAATTGTGCAGAAGCTAAACTTAATTTGAAAAAGCTTTTACAAATAATTTCATACCTTTTTTAAAAGTAATCTTCAATAGTTAAATAACAGTAAAAGTAGTAAGTTCTAGGAGCACAATTAAGAGGTCAAATAATAAATTTTAAATGACAAAATATTGATACCTACCATCGGGAAAAAACGTATTATATTTTCCACTGGATTATCTGCAATATCCAAGACTAAGTATCTGAAAATAGAACAGATTGTAATAACCACTTTCAGATAAATGTTCATATATACATATGTTAAACTATTTCTTGGTGATTATCAAAAGAATACAAACATAATTATCTGAGTATCACATTTCTAAGAATTGGGTCACAGACTTTTATAATGCCCCAGGGAGTTAAAATAGTATGGAAACTCTTAAATAACATGGTAACATTTCTCTGTTAAAGATATCCATCTTGTTAAATAAGAAAAATCACAAGCAGGAAAGAAACTTTCTTCTAGGTAAGAACAGACATAAAAAAACTTGCTTCAATGATCTCTCAGGTAGAAACTTCAGAAAATTCAGGGCTTAAGACAGCGGTTAAAAACTGAAAATTTTAAAAAATCCTTCGTATGAGCCTCAAGGACTGACAATGTCTGTATCCCAAGAAACTAGTAAGACCTATCTGCGGACACCATTGTGAATACCAAGAACTACTACATCTATTAGCCTATAAGAAGCCAGTATCATTAAGTCTGGGGAATAATGTTTCTTCATTAGAATAATGAACCAGCACCCAGAGCACTTCTTTACTAAAAACCCACTCTGGCCTGGGAATGTGGCTCAGTGGCACAACCCTTGCCAAGCACATGGAAATCCTGGCTTTGATTCCCTTTTTAATACACGTGTATAAATGTATTTATAACAAGCATAATATACCATATTAATAGGGCCAAAGATAAAAATCACATGATCATCCCAATAGATGCAGAAAAGCCATGTGATAAACTCTAACACTCATTCTTGATAAAAACCCAAGAGAAGGGGCCTGGGATATAGCTCAGCCGCATAAGCACATGCCCAGTAAGTTCTAGGTCATAAACTCAATCCCTGGTACCCCCCCCCACACACACACAAGGAATAAATGATGTTTACCTCAATCTGATAAAAGCCATCTATGACAAACCAACAGCCAACATCACACAAAATGGACAGAAACTGAGTGTTCACTCTAAAATCACAACCAAGACAAGGATGTTCACTATCACTACTCCTATTCAGTATAGTTCTGAAACGTAGCTACAACAATTAGACGAGAGAAAGAAAAGGAACAAAGATAGGAAAGGAAGAAGTTAAATTATCATTATTTGAAGATGACAAGATAATCTACATCAAAGACCCCAAAAACTGCACAGAAAGACTTCTAGAATAACCAAATTCATTGGCATAGCAGGATACAGTCAACACTCAAAAATCAACAGCATTCCTGTACAAAACAAACTCACTGAGAAATTAGTGAAACCACATCCTTCACAATAGGAATCAATCTAACAAAGGAAGTAAAAGATTTACACATTGAAAATTACAGCACTCTGAAGCAAGAGATCAAAGAATATATCAGAGAATGAAAAGATATCCCTTACTCCTGGATAGGAAGAACCAATGCTGTGAAAATGGCCATACTCCCAAAACTGTTATACAAACGCAATGCAATCCTGATCAAAGTACCATCAATACATCTCATAGAAAACATTCCTAAAATTAATTTGGAAACAGAAGAGACCTAGAACAGCAAAGGCAACGCTGGGTAACAAAATCAAGGAAGGAGGCAACATAATCCTTGACTTAAAATTATACTACAAAGGGGGCCCAGCCCTAGCTCAGTTCTTTAAGTGGCTGCTTCCACAATGCTGGCAGCCTCAGTTTGCTGTAGTTCGATCCCCACAACACTCCAGCCATGCAAAAGTGCCCTGAAGGCATTCAAGGAGCAAAAAAAAAAAAAAAAAAACTACAAAGCTACTGTGATAAAATCAGCATGGTATTGGCAAAAAAAAAAAAAAAAAACAGACCAGCGGACAAAAAAAACAGATTAGAAAATGCACATACAGCTACAAATGCACTAATTACAAACATTCTCAGCCATCTTATCTTTGACAAAGAAGCCAAACATTTTCTTTTCTTTTTCTTTTTCAAACATTTTCAATGGAACAAAAACAGCCTCTTTTAATAAATAGTACTGGAAAAACTGGTTTTCCACATGCTAAAGACTAAGACCAGACCCATATCTATAACCATGCACTAAAGTCAAAATGAACCAAAGATCTAAATATGAAAACAGAAACACTAAATCTAATGGAAGAGAAAATAGGTAGAAAACAGGTATCCAGAAGACATAGATGTTAGCAGAGAGTTCATAAACAAAAAGCAAATTACATGGGAAGTACTTCAAAGAATCAGTAACTGGGATCTCATCTTATTAAAAAGTTTCTACATATCAGAAGAAATCACCAGGGGCTGGGGAGATAGTTCAGCAGTCTAAGCGCCTGCCTGGCAAGCATAGGGACCTGGCACCACATGCTGCACTGGCCCTGCCTCAAGTGCACTGAGCCAGCCACCAAAACTGAGTGTGGTGGCGCACACCTGTAATGCCAGCACAGGGGTAGGCTGAAACAGGAGGATCACTAAAAGTCCAATCTGTGTAGTGAGACCCTGTACCAAATATATAAAATGAAAAATCAACCAATTAATAAAATAAATCACCAACAAAAATGAAAAGAAAATCCACAAAGTGGGAAAAAAATTTAGCTAACAGTCCCTCAAAGGATTTCTAGTTGGAATATATAAAACATAAAAAAGCAAATAAATAAAAATTTCTAAACACTTCCCTGGCAAGCTCAAGGGCATGAGTTCAATCCCCGGTTCTGCCAAAAAATAAAATAAAAAAATTAATAAATAAATAAAAATTCCTAACCCAGTCTAAGTGACTTAGTGAGATCCCGTCTCAAATTAAATATGGGCTAGGGATGTGTTCCATGTGAAGACCCTAGGTTTAATACAAAGTGCCACAGAAAAGAAAAAAAAGCTTGTATGTGCAATACAAAACCCTGAAGGGCTACGTGATTACTCAATACGCCTCTAGGTATAGAAACTGAGTATCTATGACATACAAACAGGAAAACTTATTTTCAATTCATATTCTTTTAAACCTTTAAATTGTACATAATGAAAATGATTAAAACATTCTAAATAAACTTTATTTTAAAAATTATGTACTGCACAGCCCATCTTTACAAGACAAATTTATAGATGATTATATAAAATAAGGTGAAATGAAAACTATATTACATGTTTACTATTAATATTTTTATACATCACAGCAATGATTCCTACCTAAATAACTGCTGAAAATTCGGTTTAATAAAGTTTGCTTCAATATTTTGTCGTATGCAAATTATATGAGTTACTCCATGTTTCTGTAGTATAGGTAGCTGTAAAAAATGGGGGGAGGGAGACAGAAAAGAGAAAGTGTTTAAAATACAAGCCATTTTAATTGTAACATGTTCCAAAACACATAGGACCTATTTCTGGGTCAAACAGAGGATTAAAGCTAATTTTCTGATAATTTACCTAAAATGACTGGCCAGATAATTCAATGATTCAAGATTAATACTTTAAATGTCTTCACAACACTTACTAGGGTATATTCTGTGCCCATAATTCTAGAACTTGATGGAATCTTAGACTATCTAGAAAACAGCATTATAGAATGGTTAAAGGCACAAGATTTGGAATTATGAGAATTCAAGCTACAAACCTCAGCCCTGCCAAGAGCCTGACATCACTCGCCATTGCATCGTGTGAGAATGGAAAAAAAATGCTACTTATTAACTTGCTGGTTGTGATAATTATATAAGATAATAATTTAAATCTTTGTGGCACAGGTCTTGGTTCAAGCCATTCAGGCTACAGCATTTCGTTAGAGTGGCATGAATGGATGAAGACAATACAGTTTTCACAAGTTTTAAATGTCAATTTCTGTAGTAAATCTTAAGGCACCATAGATTAGCACTAAATACATTTTGTTTCCAGAGTAAATTCTGAGCTAGAGGAAGGGAACCCTTTGATAGGATTAATAATTAACTGGGGGTTCTACATTCACATTGATGCCAACCTCCAAATTTAACTCAACATTCATTCTTTTGTCTATACTTGCTTATGGGAGAGTCTTCTACCTACTTTATTAACATGAGAAACTACCAGAGGAAATATAAAAACCTGATGTAACAAGCTCTGAAGGCACTTTCCCCGTTACTGAGTAAAGCAAATCTTATCAAAATGGAAATGAAATAAGAGTACTTTTTACCTTTCAATGGATTTGTTTATATAAAACAAATCATGACCTTATTGTATAACTATAAGCAATAGAAAAATTATATAAAAGAATTCACTACTTACCAAGATACTAATTTGTCCCTTTTATTTACTCTGTACCTGTCAAAAGGCACTTATCCCCTAAGGTTTTTCTATCAGTACTGTTTCTTTGTTTTTAAGATGTATTTTTCTTTTGAATGATGATAAGAAAAAAAATATGCACTATAGTATGGTGACTGGGTGGGACACAAAACACTACCATAGAAGTTTCCTCAGGTTTACAATGACCAAAATTAAACTGTGAGGCAGGAGGCAGTGCACTGGGCATAAAAAAGCAAATTATCTAATGTCACCCTAAAGGTTAGTTCTTGGGAGAATCTTACATCATTTGAGGCATAATTTTGTTTACATGTACATTTACATTTACAAAATCAGACACATTTACATTACTTGTCTGATCCTTTCTCCATGTTTCCAACCTAGCAGCTGTCATCCAAATGACTAGGACCATTCTCACTCATCCCTCAACCATCAATAAACCTGCCAAGAGTAATCATGTTTAGGGGCCGGGGAGACAGCTCACTAGAATAAGCCCTTGCCTGGCAAGGGCCTGAGTTCAATCCCCGGTTCTGCCAAAAACCAAAAAGTAATCACGTTTTGTATCCAATCCAATCACCTAAACTTTGGTAGCACAAATTATTTCATGGACATACCAGAAACAACTTAAGTATAGTGACTTCTGAATACGCAAGGTACTGGGTAGGACAGTGCTATACAACGTTTCACTGGCTATAATTCAGAGAGTAAGTGCCACTGTCTTAAGCATCAAGAACACTGCTATACATATTAAAGCCAGATCTTCCCATTGAGGAAGTCTGTTACTACAGAGAATCCACAGATCACAATGTATTCCGCCACCCTCTTAGAACTGGAAGAAAAACAAGAGGAATCACTTTCCATTAAAAGCCATACACTTCCCCTTGATAGAGACTGGTTAACAAAAATGTTAACTTTCTGTATTTTAGGGTTTACTGTACCACACGCTGTTCAAAAGCTACAAACAACAGTCATGGATATTTAATATCTTTAGCAGATTTAAGTTACTGAATGGTAATGGGATGGGTTAAATTGGTTAATCTCTTTTCATCAACCTATCTCCCCCCTCCTCTTTTTCCAGAACTGGGGACTGAACCCAGGGCCTTCACACGGTGCTACATCTCTACTTAGATCCTCTTCTTTGGGACAAGGTCTCACTAAATCACCAAATTGTATAGGTTAAGCTCAAATTTGTCCTACTTCAGCCTCACAGAATGCTAGGATTAGGTGTACACACCAACATGCCTAGTATGATTGGTAAATCTTTCAAACTCATAGGTTTCCTTAGAAAAATAAAATATGCAACCTCATATCTGTGCGTGTGACGTGGTGTATCTGTCATCCCAACACTCCAAGGAGGTTAAGGCAGAAAGACAGCATGTTCATGTCCAGTCTGGTCAATGTAGTAAGATATTGTCACAAAACAAACAAACAACACAAATCAGGGTGGGAAGACATGTTCTATGTTCTGGATTTGATTCTAAGCACTACAAAATAAAGAAAATTTAAAAATAAAAAATGAGAGCCAGCCAGATAGCTCAACGGATTAAAGCGCCTGCTTAGGCAGGTGCAGGGACTTGGGTTCAATCCCTGGTGTGCAGCTGTCCAGCCCCACCCCCAGGGTGCACGGAGACAGTGACTGAGAGTGGGTGTGGTGGCACACACCTATAATCCCAGCACTTGGGGGGCTGAAAACAGGAGGATCACTACAAATCCAATCTGTGTACTGAGACCCTATAGATCCTGTACTAAATACATTAAAAAAAAAAAAAAAAAAAAAAAAGAGAGAAATAAAATAAATAAATGAGTAAAAGCCTGGAGATATTGTACAATAATCTCTGAGTTTAATTTCTGGCACTAAAATTTTTTTTAAGAAACTCATTTATTTGTACTTAGGACAGGGTGTACAGGGTCTCACTGCATAGAATAGACTCACAGTGATCCGCCTGTTTATAGGCGAGGCACAATGCCCAGTCTCAATAGCCAAAATAGCTGTCTCAGCAAGCCCTGGGGGTTGGACCAGCAGGTCAGGGAATCGAACTCCTAGCCCTGCATCTGCCTAAGCAAGAAGCTCATTTTTGATGGAACATTTAAGAACCACTGGTTCAGTAAAATGGGAAAGAGGGCAGGTAGTAATACAGTGATAATTCCTGTTAATACACAGTATTTGTGAATGCTCCCTAAAATGAAAACCATATTACTAAAAAAAAAAAAAAAAAAAAAAAAAAAATTACTGGAGTAAGCTGGTTACTAAAGTCTCCTGGTGAACCTAACCTAAAGTTCATACCTTGCTTTTCATAGCAGAAGAATATGGGCCTAAGAATAATCCGGGTAAAATTTCCTAGGAAGAGAGGGAAAAAAAATCACCATTAGCAAGTTTAATTTATATCACATATGCAACACATCATTACCTTTGCCGGGGATTTTCAGTATAATAATTTGCTTAAATGTTTGTCATTTGGGGGAGCATGTCCTAGCCTCAATGCACAAATGACTGTGATGAGAAATGCAGATATGCTTCCCAATATTCAGGGAGATATTTCAAGTTCAAGTGCAGTTGTGAGAAGTTCAATATTTGAACTTCCACAGTGCTTTTTATAAGCAGTTTAGGTAGTAAACACTGTGTCATTGCTTTTAGATTAGTATCATCTCACTTCTACTCTGTATATTCTAAAAATTAAATTAAATAAGCATCAAGAAAATCCTTTGGGATTGTGGTAAGTAGCACAAAATACAACAGTATTAGAACTATTACCTATAGGTAACAAAAACAAACTGATTATGATTACACAGTTATTTGCATCTGGGACTGCTTTGTCCTACTGGCTTCTTTTACTCAGAAATTACACTTTGCCCATCTTTGCACACCCATAGCACCAAGTAAAATGCCTCAGATGTACTCAGATATTTTAACAGTTTATTTTCACTGACAGGAAGTTTAAATGTTAAGAGACCCCCCAGGCATCAAGGTTCCAAGTTCAATCCCTGGTACTGCAAAGAAAAAAAGAAAGAAAAGGGCTGAGATAGCTCAGTAGCATTAGTGCTTGCCTGGCAAAGATAAGATCTGAAGTTCAATCCCTGGTACTGCAAAAAAAAAAAAAAAAAAAAAAAAAGAACAAAAGAAAGAAAGAAATGACAGGCATGACTTGATCCTGGGGTGAGACATGCTGCAGATGGACCGAAACGCAGAAGAAAAGCAACTGTGAGTACTGGTTGTCATTTAAATTAATTCTAAACTGAAGGACCCTATGGGGACTTAATTACAAATGCTGGCTGGACAGGCACAGAAATGAACAACTAGTTTGATTTGCTTAATAGTCAACACTCAAGCACTTAATCCAAACTAAATAAATAGCAAACTGCTGTCAAAAAGGTAATATAGATTTAGCATTCCACTTTTCAGATTAAAGTAATTCAGGCACGCATGCATGTGCATAGATACACATACTGAAAGTCATTATTTAAGATAATCATGAAGCTACAGCTCATAAGCCAACAGGTCTCAAATAATTCATGAATCTAGCTTATTTATATAATAATACGGGTTGAATTGAACAAATAAAGTTTCCATACCTGCATCTCTCGTCTCATAGGGTAGGTCCACTCCTTTACAAAGAAAAACACAAGAAAAAAAGTAACATGAAAAATGTCACCCTGTGAATAACTAAAGATGCAAGACAGAAAAACATAGATTTTTTTTTTTTTTAAATTACATCTAAAGAACTCTCTACAGGGCTGAAGATGTAGTGCAGTGGTGGAAGGCTTCCCTAGGAGGCCTTAGGTTTGATCCAAGCACCACAAACTACTGAAAAAAGTAGATAGTTGGTGATCAAAGTCAGATTTTATTTGCCTATTGTAGGGAAGAGTAGGAGAGGTCTAGAAATAGATATAATTTCTGTGTTTGACAATGCAATCTGACAAAAAAAGACAGACTATGTATCAGAGGAAAGATAATTAATACTATTCCTGACTTCTCAAGTGCAAGAACAGAAGCAAGACAGGAATAATTCAAAGCAACAAAATAACTGTCATCTACAGCATATATTCGGAAAAATCACATTTCATGAACAAAAGTAAAAGAAAATTAATACAAGCACATTTTTCACTAAAGGAACTCTTTTAGGAGATGTTCTTTAGAGAAAAGATACTATCATTGTGTCTATTTCACATTTAAATTTTAGGCATAGAGAATTTTGTGAGCTCACGTAGTCTGGATCTAAAATTTATTCTCTTGATCATTATGCTATACAAACTTTTTTCCTTTTTATGTATTTAGTACATGGTCTACAGGGTCTAACTATGTAGATCGGACTCAGTGATCCTCCTGTTTTTAGCCTCCCAAGCGCTGGGACTACAAGTACATGCCACCATACCCAGTCTCAATTGCCATCTCAGTGCACCATAGGGGCAGGGCTGGCACGACACACCAGGGATCAAACCCTAGTCCCTGCACTTGCCTAAGCAGGTACTTTAATCTGCTGAGCTATCTGGACAGCCCTTATAAACTTTCAATATAAGGAGAAACTATGTCAAACACATTTAAACAAATATTGACTGCATGAAATAACAATAATGTTTAAGAATTAAGATTACAAATAAAAGCTAGAGCTTCCATGCTACAGGGAGGATATGATCAAATTAAATGTTTACCTGCTTCTTTAACTTAATAAAATAGCATGTTTCTAAAGTAGAAAAGTTTTTAAACTTAGCCCAAATAATCTTAGTCTTAGTACCCCTAACATGGAGCATAGTGCTTTATATAGAACAAGCACACGATAGATGTGCATTGTTGGAGATCTACAGCACTAGATCCCAGAGATCTTTCTTTTGTTTTTCTAAAAAGATTTTCAAGAAATCTAATGGCCACCCTTTTCCTAAAGCAAATTTGCAACTTGTCAGAACTGTGAGAAAGAAAAAAGCAATTAAATGAAACGTGTATTTCTGAGCATAACTAAGGTGAAATAAAAATGTACATTAAAAAAAAAAAAAACAAGGCTAGAGGTGTAGCTCAGTGTAGAACACTTAACCTAGCATGTATGAGGGCCCCATATTAGATCTCTGGTAGTAGGAAAATAAGCCAAAAACTTGAAACATATATAGAGAAATGGCATGCATATGGAAAATATGTGTGAATATGTAACTTATTATGATTTGATAACCACATCTATAAATAAACGTACAAAAGGGTGATTAATAGGACAAAAGGTACTCAAATATATTAAGTGCCTCGGGGTATCACCAATACTAGTGAGATTTAGGCACTTACATACCTGCTTACAGGTGAGAAAAGAGGGGGTGGGGAGGCAGGCAGCTTAGCACCGTGAATTTTTTTTTTTCTTTCAGCAAGTGATTTTGAAGAAAGATGAATGGGCCCTTGGAAGAACAGATGATGGTCTATGACAAAGTTTGTCTGGGTACGCTATCTACTTCTACACTTCTTTGCAAAGTCAATCCTCCATTGTTGATAAAACTCCCTGGGAGAGAACTGGTGACAAGTGAATTCCTTTTGGAGGTTCTACTGTAGACACTGAGGTGACTTCAGGGAAAGCCATTCCCTGCATTTGCTGTTTTTCCAGTGCCTTAAACCCAAGGTAATCAACATAGCAATACAACAGACTTTGTGGTGGAATTTCCTGAATTACAACTTGGCAACATCCCAGAAACAACTCAAAGCCATGGGATAAATGTGCATTTTAATTTTTTCAAGCAATATTCATTTTACCAAGAGATGGAGAGGGAGTATTTTCACTGGCTACTAACTTAAACTATTTAAGTTAAAATCACTATGAACATACAGAATATAATGGACTTTCTATTTATCAAAAAAAATTACAGGCATAAAATACATAGTAAGACAATGGAAATTTATCCCTATTATCAGGGTATATTTGGGGAGTATGACTTTGCTGTAATAAGGATAAGTCACTTGAACCCCAGAAGTTTTATCTGAGAGAAAACTTCATTTGGAATTACTTTTGGTGCCATCATCGAATTCTGATCTCAAAGATCACCCTCTTCATTGACCTCATATGTGCTACAGTTTTAGTGTGGCTCCCCAGGTTCACACACTGAAACATCCCCACTGTCAAGTACTAAGGGTGGAAACTTCACCTGACTGTAATGTTTACTTTTGGTCTGTGTGTGTGTTTTGTCCTTTGGAGACAGGTTCTTGCTATGCAGTTCAGGCTGGCCTTGAGCTCATTTTGTAGTCCAGGCTGGTCTGGAACTCGCAACAATTAACTGTAGTGTTTAGAGGTGGGAAGCGATTGGCTTAGCTATGATCATTACTAGGGTGAGCCTCTATGATAGAACCCTGAGGAAAAGGCCAGAAGACAGACAGACAGACAGACAGACAGACACACATTTCCAGACTCTCGCTACATGATGCCCACTATCACCAAGGCATTCTCCCAGCAAAAGGCCTAAGATAGAACACTTGACTTTGCACCTCCAGAACCATGAGCCAAAATAAATCTCTATTCCTTAATAATACTGTATTACTAGCAACAGAAAATGAATTAAGACACCATGATTATGATGCTGCCCTACAGAACAAACCTTAAACCTGACTTTGCTAAACTTTACAGTATTGGATCTAGACTTTAAAGGGCATCAAAGCTAACAGTCTTGTTCTACTAGATAGCTGTCTGAACAAGTTTCTAAAATCGTCTCAACCGTATCTCCTCCTTCTCATTCACCCCCTCCACCACCCACCTCATCAGTGCTGTAAACTAAGAGTCCAGGACCCCTAGCCAAACACTTTATTACTTACTCCCTTAGCCACAGCTATCACATTCATGATGCAATTTCAACCTGCCTATGCTGCTCCTACAAATCCATCTTCCTTCAGAGCTTGTAGCTTTCATGGTATAGACTTTTCTATTTAAAAAGTTACTATAGCAGTTAATCAGTAGGATCAATTTCTCAAACTTCTCTCATTAGCCCAGCATTCCAACCACAGTTACCCAACCAAAGCAGGCCAGATGAGACAAGATACCCGTAACTGTGAGATAAACCACTGTCTGGAAAAAGTATTTATAAACATGACAGTGTCCCATGCCTGTCATCCCAGCTACTCTGGAAGTTGAAGCTGGAGGATCGTAATTTCAAAGTCAGCCTGGGGAACAGGAGACCTACCAGCTCAACAGAAAAAGAAAGATCAAAGAAAGATCGGGTGTGGTGGTGCATGCCTGTAATCCCTGCCCTGGGGAGGCTGAAACAGGAGGATCACTGTGAGTCTGATCTGCATAGTGAGACCCTGCACCAAAAAACAAGAAAAAAGGTAGATCATAAGTAAAACTCCTTCAATCAACATGAGGTAAAAAGTACCATATATTAACACACATTTTAGGATCTCCTTATACCATGAAAAGATTTATAAAGCTGTATTAGGAGAATCAAAATGTTCAAAGACCCTGAAATAAATGCGCCCATGAAGAACACAGCCTGTAAACATTAGTTAAAAGAAAAAATTCTTAAGAGTTGGGAGTGTGGACTAGAAAAACAGCATTATTCAAGTAGGCATTTTCTTAATCAGTTTTTTAAACCTGGCTGCAAATCAAGTGTTTTTTGGCTCCATCCAAATCAATTAGATCACAACTGGTGATGACAGAACCCAGGAATGGATATTTTTAAAAAGTTTCTGGAACTGGGGATGAAACACCTATAATCACAGCACTCTGGAGGCTGAGGGAAAAAAATCATCAAATCCCAACTAAGCCCCAGTAATCTAGTGAGACTGCCTGAAAATAAAAAAAAATAGGGCAAGAGACTTCGCCTAGTACAACAGGTGTGGTTTCGTTCCCAGTACTCCTAACACCATAAAACAAGTGGCACACACCTATAATCCCAGCACAGTAGGAGGCTGAGGCAAGAGGGTCACAGGTTCAAACCCATGTGCAACTTAACAAGACCCTATCTCAAATACATAATGAGCTGGTTATATAGCTAAGTGTGACAGACCTGAGCATCCCCAGACCTAAAAGATGATCGCGTACACACGGAGAAAGGAGCATAGACAAGAGTTATCCATAGTCAGTTTAGAGTGGATGGGCAGGAACCCAGGACCTTGCAGATATCAAAGGTTTTAATTTAATCCTCAAAACAAATGGGAGATCACAAGAACGTTTTGATTTCTGTGTAAACAGATACACTGTTAAACCTTTGCTTGCACTGTCCTGTATAAACAATGCCTGATCTTGTCAAGTGTGTGGTGCACGCCTATAAAACCTGCCCCTGAGGCTGAGGTGAAAGGACTGCAAGTCCAAGGCCAGCATGAATTACTCAGAAAGGGTGATATCCTGTCTCAGAAGAGGAAGAAAAAAAAAAGGAAGCAAGTAAGGAAGCCTGATTAGTATTTCAAGAAACTAGAAAATAAGCATTCACTAAAATTTTTCTACTTAAATCTCATTTTACCAATGCAAATTTGTAAGGTAATATGCCTTTCAATGTGGTGCTTCCTATGAGGAAGAATACTGATTTCACTGACTACATAAGATCATTTGACAGCTTACATGTCTCACTGGAAATCAGAAAATTATCAGTTTTATTAACATCAGCTTACTGTGATTAAATATACACCTAGATTATTTATACAGCCTTTACAGCTGCCTGCCCCAAAGGCACTCTCGTCTGTGGAAAGGCTGCTATGTAAAAGGACCATCAATTAACTCTACTCCCCTAGCCAAGGATTTGGGGATGTGACACAGGGCTTATTCATGCCTTCCTGGCCATTCTGACGGAGAGACACATGGCCTATACTGCATCAACACTCAAACCCTGCAGAAGTCAGAGAAGGGGTACTTTTGTCAATTTTTCACAAACAGGCTTTTTTCCTGCCTCCACACCTTGCAAAAGAGACAAAAGACAGACTGGCAGAAACTAGAGACCAGCACTCCTAAACTCCTAAGAGTCAGAAGCAGCTATAAGTTTAATACCATGTTAGGTACTGTAACCAACTTAGACCAGGACTTTTTCTTTTTTGGATTTAGTTATTCTTCATCATTCTTTTTCTCTTCCCTCCTTCTTCAGCTATTAGGTTTCTTGTTTTTTTGTTTTTAATGTGGTCAGTACAGGGTCTACAAGGTCTCACTACACAGATCGGACTGGACTCATAGTGATCCTCCTGTTTTCAGCCTCCCAAGCCTAGGATTACAGGTGTGCACCACCACGCTCAGTCTTAATTGCCTTCTGAGCACCGCCCTGGGGGCCAGGCTAGCAAAACATGCCTGGGATTGAACCCAGTCCCTGTGTCTGCCTAAGCAGGTACTAATCTACTGAGCTATCTGGCAGGCCTTATTCTTCTCTCCTTTCTCCCATCCCCAATTCCCCCACCCCCGTCTCTGTCTCCTTGCTTAAGCTAGTCTCAGCTGGTTCTTCTTACTTGTAACCAAAAGAGATCAAACATCCAATGCCATCAAATAAGGTATGAACTGGTCTTCAGTTGATAATACATTACCCACTGAACTTAAGCATTATCTCTATTCCCTACAGTATAATTTGAAAGATACCTGGTTCCTGGCCCAGTTTCTGTCACAGACCTCCTTGCATCCTCTAATTTTCCAGTAATAGTCTTTTGGGGTTCACAATGAGACACTTTTGACCACAACTGAGCTGGTGCTAATGAGCTGGTGCTTAGAGTAGGGTGTCAGGTGGGGCTGCACACCAGAAAGACAACAGGGAATCAGAAGATGAGAATTTCTGCTTCACCTACAGAACCCAGGCCAGTAGAAGAGGATAGTGGGAGGGAGTTGGAAGTTAATAATCTCTCTTAATTCTGGAAAGAAATCTGATGAACTCCAAGGGTGCTAAATAGACTGCTCTACACTTCTGGCTGTTCCCTTCCTAACATCCTTTTTAGTAAAAATATAAACACATTTTCCTGGATTCCAACAAATTAATAGTAGTGTAAGGACTGGGGAGATAGCTCGGCAGTCTAAGCGCCTGCCTGGAGAGTGCAAAGACTCGGATTTGATCCCCAGTACTGCATGCCACATTGGCCCCAGACCCGTCACAATGTGCAGGCCCCGAAACTAGGTGTGGTGGCACATGCCTGTAATCCCAGCAATGGGGAGGCTCAGACAGGGGGATCACTAAGAGTCCCAGCTGTGAGACCCTGTATCAAATAAATGATGAAAAAAAATAGTACTGCAGGTAGTGTAGCCACCTGAAGGGAGGGCTAGTGGCAGTCTTGATGGACACTCACTAGCATCAGAACTAACTTTAATACTGATAGATCAGAACTAAACTGAGGAATAGCTCAGCAGATTAAAGCGTCTACAAGCAGGAACAAGGGCTGGGGGTTCAATCCCAGGGCCTGTATAGGCCCGACGCACAGGACACAGGCAATTGAGACTGGGCCAATTGGGAGTGAGCATGGTGGCACATGCCTGTAATCCCAGCTCCCCGGAGGCTGTAAACAGGCAGATAACTACGAGTCTTATCTATTAGTGGAACCCTGAACACCCTGTAGACCCTTCCCTAAAATACAAAAAACAACAACAACAACAACAACAACAAAAAAAAAAAACAACTTAACTGGATCACAGGACATCCAGTTTGTGTCTCCTGGAGAAATGCTTGGCATGGGGAGAAAACTCAGAGCTGACACAGGAACACAGTATGTTTTCAACAGTCCCACACAGGGAAGAAGAAAGCTATACTCCTAGTTAAGAATTTATAATTTTGGAAGCACTAGATATATACACAATAAAAGATTAAATGAGAAATTTAAGATAGCTTTTACAACTTTTTAAGATTAAGAGAGGAAAAAGTTGAGGTGTAGTAAAGGCCTATACTCCGGCACTGTGGGAGGCTCATGCCTCCCACACCAAATTGTAGCCCAGGCCGCAGGTAAGCAAGGCCCTGTCTTAATCAAAAGAGGGCCGGGGATGCAGCTGAGGTTAAAGGCTTGGGTTCAGTCCCCATGCCCAGCTAGCAACGCTGGTCCCACCCCCAGGGGTACAACGAGAGGATTGAGAGTGGGCATAGTGGCGAGTGCCTGCAATCCCAGTGCTTGGGAGGCTGAAGACTGGAAATCACTATGAGTCTGATCTATGAAGTGAGACCCTTAGAAACCCTGTCCTAAATACAGGGGGGAAAAAAAAGATTATAAGGGCCTCCCTCTGCCTTGCAGTACAGTGTCAATTTGGCATATCACTTATTTTCAGGAAACTCGAATTTGTTGACACTGGGAAGGCTATTATTTCTAAAGTTGTTTGCAGAACTAAAACTTCTGAATTATGTTCAGGATGCAAAGCTATATTCCTCATACACATTACTGTACATTAAAAAAAGATGTAAATGTATTCTTATTATGAGTCTACTTTCAAAACACACAATTCTTAAGCATCACTAACACCAGCAAGAGAGCCTTCTAAATAATAAAACGTGACTCCAAATACCAATACTTAAGGAATGGATATGAAGTAAAACTAAAAGTCCTCTAGAGCCCAGTGTGATGGTGCGCGCCTGTAATCCTGCACTTGGGAGGCAGAGGCAGGAGGATTATTGCTAGTTTGAGACCAGCCTGGGCTACAAAGTGAGCTCAAGGCCTCAATGGCCTTGTCTCAAAAAGACAAAAATAAAATAAAAAGGGTCTTCTAAAAAGGAGAGCTTTATTTTACTAATTACTTTCAAGATATTTCAAGCTCTAGAAATTTTAGTCTTTACAGTATAACCAAGTATCTTTGTCCAATTACTAATTCAGTCTCCAGAATAAACTACCATAATGGTTTTCAAAACCAGAAAACACTACAACAGATGAAAACAAAAACACTGTGATATAAACAGTAAGCAAAGAAGAAGGTGGAGTAAAAAGAGTCTCGAAAAGGTATTAAGAAATTTATACCTCGCAAAGAACCTTTCCCCCAAAGAGGAAGATTTCTAATTAAAGTTGTCAAGATTCAAATGAGGTAGCTTTGTAGCATTTTATTATCTTGGTCACAGCTTTCTGCCTAGGAAAAAAAACTTTAGGAAACAATTCGTGCGAGCACTTCAAAAGTTCCTGCCCCAGGACGACTCCACACGTGGGGCCATGCGTCCCTCAAGAGAATCGTTGACACCAAAGCTACTGCTCAAGCTGGCGTTAGAAACCACTCTACGTGGCACTGCCCCGCAGAGTCAGGGTGACCCTCGCTAGGTAAAGCCCAACAGCCGCGGCCGGGGAATCGCTCCATCAAATGCAGGGGCAGTGACAGCCCCCGAGCCCGGAGCAGGGGGGCTCGGCCCGGCCACGACGAGGTTCTGCCCCGGGTCCCGGACGCCTCCGAGTGGGGCGGCGACGTCGGGCCTGGGGGGCCCTGGGCCGGGGCACTGGGAGGCCTGCTCGGGGCGGCCGCCGGACAGACTCACCTCGGCGTCGTCCTTGCACTGTGGGAGCGAGGGGAACTCCAGCTTCACGTCCTCCATGGCCCGGCCCGCGAGCGGGCGGGCGGGCGGGGTGGGCGGGGGAGCGCCCGCCGGCCCGACCCGCGGCGGCGATAGGAAGGAGGGCCGGCGGGGCGGACGCCTCCCAACTAACACTCGCTGACGAGGGCGTCCCAGCGACTCCGGTGGTGGTGGCGGCGGCGGCAAAGGGGAAGAGGAGGGCTGTGCGGCCCGCGCCCGGCCGCCATGCTGCTGCCGCCTCCCTCCGCCCCTCCCCCCGAGTCTCCGCGCCCCTCTGGCAGCCCAGGATCCGGCGCCCACACCAGCCTTACAACCGTCTCCCCGCCTTCCTCCCGCCCCACCCACGCCGCCCCAGCCAATCCCAGCCCACGCTCGTCTGGGACCCGCCCCCCGCCGCCGCCAGGTGTCAGCGCGCTGCCGCCCGTCCCACCCCTGCGCGAGAGCGCAGACGCATGAGGGCGGGGCCTTGGCCGGAGTGCGCCCGCGGGGAGGAGGCGGGGCTGCGGCGTGAGGGCGGGGTCGATCGTGTGAAGGTCCTGGGAAAGGCAGTGGGCTGGATGAACCAGACCTGGCTCAGACCTGTGTTCAGAGCAGATGGGCGAACGTCCTGCCCCAAGGAACTGCCATCCGAAAGACCAGTTTTTCCTCTCCAAATTCTGCCTAACCTGGAGTGAATTTATAACCAAAAGTGAAATAAGTAAATAGTTTACTTTAAATTCATGTGATACAGGGAAAATGAAATATCCATCATCTTTAAGCAGGTAACTGAAACAGTAGACTAGGAATGCCTGAAATACTAACTTTTAGATTACCTAGAAAATTTCAACAATAGCAAATTTTAGAAGATATCATCAGAAACACAACTGATACTTTATACTTAGAAAATTGTACATAATGCTATTAAGGTTTTTTCCTTTTATTCTTATTTCAACATTATATGCTTTTTAATACTTTTTAAAAGTTATTATCAGTATCATTGTTTTTGTTTGTTTTTTTTGTATTTTAGGGAAGGGTCTACAGGGTGTTCAAGGTTCTACTACTAGATGAGACTGGTAGTGATTCGCCAGTTTACAGCCTCCCAAGAGCTGGGATTACAGGCACAAGCCACCACGCCCAGTCTCAATTGCTGTCTCAGCGCCCCCAGGATAGAACCCCTAGCCTCTGCGCCTGCTTGCAGGCACTTTAATCTGCTCAGCTATTTGGCCGGCCCAGTATCACTGTTAATAAAGATTAGATATATATTTTCTTGGGGCATTTGGGATGTTCTTCAACAGGTAAGAAAATAAAACTATGGAATGGAGGTACCCATGTGTAACATTTGTACACCAGATTATTTAATAAACCACCAGCAGCACAAAAGGAAAAAGGCAAGGTTAAATGATGCAAAGGACAGTGGATGAAAGGATCACATACAGCTTCGGCTTAGCTCTAGTCCATTCTGTTACTTCCATACTGTCCATGTATGCAGTGTACCGCGCCAAGACACCTGGAACTGCTGGACTATCTTGAGTATTAGACCCAAGTGCTCATGTTCACTGTCACTATGTCAACTGATGGCTACCTTTAAGAATTGTAAATGGAAGAAAATATCCTAAGTTTATCAGTTGAAAAATAATAGTTATTCAGGTCTTGTCTTGTTGGTTTTTTAGGATTTATGAAACTGAAATTTTTTTTATAGTACCTTTTAACAGTGGCTGAATTGATGCCCGGTGATGATTCCCTTATGTAATTTGTTCAAACTTACTGCTACATGAAGTGAGAATTGTGTGTAGGTAACAGAACTCTCGAACATTTCAGGTTATCACCATCCTTCCATCAGATACTCTTAGCATATATCCATGTATATTTATAGAATCCATGGCGGAGCTGAGAAATAATAAACCTCCGGAAATTACAGTATATGCAAAATCGTGTTGAGAATTTTTCTGGGAAGAAGGTCCCAGGATAACAGTCTCAAAAGAAAACAACTATATTAACAAAACCAAGTCATATTTATTATTAAATATTTCTTCTAATCACAAATTTTAAGTTATGTATGCAGATGTACTCTTTTAATTAACTATCAAATAAATGGCCTAGTTATAGTGTATGAATAGTGGGTAAATACTTTCTGAAAGTCATATAAATACCTGTGTGCATTTATATTTAACAATATGATTTTCTGAATTTCAAGGGTTGCTACTGTTTTAAAATTCAAAAACCTTTGTACCTAATTCCAACTTCACCTAAGTTATCAAAATGAATAGTTTGGGGGGCCTGGCCTTAGCTCAGTTGTTTAAGTGGCTGCTTCCTCAGGTTGCTGTAGTTCGATCCCCACAACCCTCCAGCCAGCCAAACCACCCCTGAGGGCATTCGGAGCAAAAAAAAAAAAAAAAAAA